GGGGAGGCAGATCTCTGAGTTGGAGGACAGCCAGGGCTACACAGAAAAACCCTGTCTTGAAAAGCAAGAACAAAAAAAATCTGAATTGGGAAGTCAGATTTTTCAGTATACATCTTTTCACATATCAATTGTACTCTTGTATCCTTGATTCCTATTACATTTTTATCAGCTATATGGGCAAGAACACTGTGCTCCTTGTGTCTAGGGGAGGAAAAAAATGTTGATAGTTGGATGAGCTGAGCGGTGGTGGTGCATGCCTTTAACACTGTCACTTGGGAGGCAGAGGCAAGTGGATCTCTGAGTTCCAGGACAGGCAGGGCTACACAGAGCTGTCTTCGGTGGGTGGGTGGGGATTAGTTGGGTGAATAAATGAACATTAGCTTACACAATTCAAGGAATAGTACTTGGTTCCTAGGAGTTACCTTTTTAGATTCTTTGTATTAATTCTGTGGGAAATGGTTCTTTTGTTTCTTTCCTATTATATCAAACTCAAGTACTCAAACACATTAGGCACATGCTCTACCACTGACCTAATATTCATCCAGTCTGTAAATTTTTTTCTGCCATTCTTACAATATACTTACTTCTCAGTTTACAAGTACACTCCATGACCTATAAGATCAAGCTCTCTACAGTTTAGTTTTCAAGACTTCCTAAATGCTGGCCCCAGTACATGACTCTAGAGCTATGTCCTGAGACACTTCCCACTCATGAGTTAATATCTCCTAGATAGTACCCACTTACCTAAAATTTCCTTCAAGGCCATGCATCTTTAGGAAACTACTTAGAATCTATAGGTAGATACCTGTGTAGCTTTCTGGGTCTACAATTACTAGCATAACCACATCCTATGAGTACAAAGCCCCTACAACAGATAGCAATTTGCTAGTTACCTGAGGAAAAGGAGAGAATGGATGAGTAATTGATACAAATTTCAAACATATACGATCACAGCCAGGTATGGTGTTGCACAGCCATGACCCCAGCCTTGAAGAAAGAGGCAGGAAGTGTAAAGTCTGAAGCCTTATCTCAAAACTAAAAATCTGATAACATGATCCAAAGCTCAAGACTTAGTAGTAATCAATAGAAATATAGAGCCTTTCACTGAATATTTCCCACATCTGTAAGTAACTTAATCTTTTTTGCCATAGGCCTGGGCTCTAATATCTTCCGCCTGCTGGACAGCCTGCGGGCCCTGTCAGGCCAGGCTGGATGCCGCCTCCGTGCCCTGCATCTCAGTGACCTGTTCTCACCACTGCCCATCCTGGAGTTGACTCGCGCCATTGTACGAGCCCTTCCTCTGCTGCGGGTCCTGTCTATTCGTGTTGATCACCCCAGCCAGAGGGACAACCCTGCTGTACCGGAGAATGCTGGGCCCCCTAGCCACATAATTGGGGATGAGGAAATACCAGGTAAAGCACATACACATCTCCAGTGACATGTACAGTTGTGTTTGGCTGGGGAGAGGTAGGGAACTTCAACTGTAGATTATTCTACTCAGTCCTGCTGTTATTGTCATGTTTGTCCTTTACAAGCTGCCATTCTTTAAAAGAACCTGTTGAGACAGATCTCAGGACTGCTATGAACATGACCAAGATAGCTGTCTCCAGAAAGGGGATCTAAACAGATCATTTTTAAAGTAGATTCAGTGGCCCTGCTTTATGTTTCTATTTCCAATTATGTCTCCTCTTGCAGCACTATGCATTTGCTATCTGTGTGTGTGTGCATGTGTACATGTATGTGGAGGCCACAGGTTGACATTGGGTGTCTTCCTCTATCCTTTCTCCACCTCTTAAGAATTTTGTTGTATGTGTATGTTTTCATGCATGTTTCACTGTGGAAATCGGGACAGCTGTGTGTGTGTGTGTGTGTGTGTGTTTGATTGTAGAAATCAGGGAACAACCAAAAAAGTGTGTGATTGTAGAAATCAGGGAACAACCAAAAAAGTGTGTGATTGTAGAAATCAGGGAACAACCAAAAAAATAAAAGTTAAAAAGGCAGGTGGTGGTGGCACATGCCTTTAATCCCAGCACTGGGGAGGCGGAAACAGATAGATCCCTGTGAGTTCAAAGCCAGCCTGGTCTACATAGCGAGTTCCAGGACAGCAGTCTCCACTTGTCCAGTGCTGGCATTTGGGGTGTGGGCCATCACAGACTTGCCATTTACATAGGTTCTAGGGATCCAAACTCAGGTTTTCACACTTACCACCCACACCATCTACCCCTGCATACTTTTATTTGCTTGAGTGCAAAGACAAGATTTTATATTTAATGGTCCATTTCTTGAACTCGACATAAAGCCTGACACACAGCAGGATAAAAACAAACCACCTTCCTAATGAGTCTACTCTGTATAGAAGCAGAGGGCCAGTGAGATGGCTCAGCATAGAAAAGCACTTGCCATCACACCCGAAAGCCCAGTGTAACCCCTGGAACCCACATGGTAGAATAAACACCTGAAGGTTTTTTCTTGACCTCCCAGTAGTGGTATACATACAAAATATATATCTTGTTTTTGTGAGACACAGTTTCTCTGTGTAGCCCTGGTTGTCCTGAATTAAAAGGCGTGCACCATCGCCACCCTACATATGTATTTTTAAGTGAAGTACAGACTAATTGGAATTTCCTTTTCCTATCATATACAGAAAACTGCCTAGAGCAATTGGAGATGGGATTTCCACGGGGAGCTCAGCCAGCCCCACTGCTCTGCTCGGTTCTGAAGGCCTCAGGTTCTCTACAGCAGCTGTCACTGGACAGTGCCACCTTTGCCTCTCCCCAGGATTTTGGGCTTGTGTTGCAAACACTCAAAGGTAGGAATGGTAAAGGAGAGTAGGTAAGGACCTACCATTGTTCCCTGGGAAAACTAAGCCTCACTGCTCATGGCTTCTGCCTCCTATCCAGAATACAACCTATCTCTGAAGAGGCTGAGTTTCCATGATATGAATCTTGCAGACTGTCAGAGTGAGGTGCTCTTTTTGCTACAGAATCTGACCCTTCAAGGTAAGCTCCTAATCTAGAACCTGAGCATTCCTGTGTCCTCACTGTAAACTCCTAATTCAGAACCTGAGCATTCCTGTGTCCTCACTGTAGCTCTGCTACTTTCTCAGTGTGCAAACTCCTCTTCTTCCCCTAGTCTTAATATCATCCTTGACTGTAAGTACATAGAACCTGTGTAACCTTCCTTCTAATGTCCCAAACTCAGTTCCTCTCCAAACATGGGCATTTACCCCATTTTTATTAGTACCTCACTTTGCTTTGTCTTGTAAGGGCTGGCAGAAATGGTGATAGCACCCTGGGTGGGTTCAATTTTTAAAAAACAAAATGAGATAGTGGAGAGAGGGTAGGGAAGTGGTGGTACACGCCTTTAATCCCAGCAGAGGCAGGATGTCTGAGTTCAAGGTGAGTTCGAGGCCAGCCCGGTCTACCATAGAGTTCCAGGACAGCCAAAGCAATTACACAGAGAAACTCTATCTCAAAAAACCAAACAAAAATAGTGGGGAGAAATGTGCTACTGTGGCACGCTGCCTTCAGGTATCACCTCTGTAACTAATCTCCACCCCTGCAAAGGGATCAGTGGCTAGAGAGGGGGAAGTGGATAAAAAAATTGCCCACGCAGAGATGCTCCTCCCAGCAAACATTTAGGCTCAGTATCTTATTTGAATTGAGTTCCAACACTTCTTGGGGCTTTACAGATTCTTCTTCTTTTTCAGGTCTGTATAAAATGTTCCCACACCTTGTAGGAGCACCTGGGGCAGGAGGGACAGCCCCAGCCCTACTTCTCATCCCAATATTCTTTTTTCGCTTGACAGAGATTACCTTCTCCTTCTGCCGTCTGTTTGAGAAACGCCCAACCCAGTTTCTTCCTGAGATGGTCGCTGCTATGAAGGGCAACTCGACACTGAAGGGCCTTCGACTACCAGGGAACCGCCTGGGTGGGAACCAGACCCTGGAGAGGGAGGGAGGAAGGAACCAGGCCTTTGACTATATACTTTTGGGGTAAAGGTATTGACTACTGCACTGAGAAGGCTGTGGTAGCAATATAAGTATTTGAGTACTAGGTCTTCAGAACTGCTAGGACTAGGGTTTTCCCAAGATGGAGCTGGGATAGGATAGATACCCTTGTTCCCCTCCTCGTGGATGGAGGTAATGAGTGTCCTCCTCCCTCTCTCCAGGGAATGCTGGCCTGTTGGCCCTAGCAGATGTTTTCTCAGAGGATTCTTCCTCTTCTCTCTGTCAGCTGGATATCAGGTATGCCAAGGATTGGGGAGAGAAGGGATGGGAGAAAGGGATATAGACAAAAGCCTAATTGCTTCCTGGATAACTAATCCACCTCATCCCTGCCAGTTCCAACTGCATCAAGCCAGATGGGCTTCTGGAGTTTGCCAAGCGACTGGAGCGCTGGGGCCGTGGAGCCTTTGGTCACCTACGCCTCTTCCAGAACTGGCTGGACCAGGATGCAGTCACAGCAAGAGAAGCAATCCGGCGGCTCCGGGCTACCTGCCATGTGGTTAGCGACTCATGGGACTCATCCCAGGCCTTTGCAGATTATGTCAGCACCATGTGATGGGGCCCATACCTCACAGGCCCACCCTCAGTACCATCAGCTTGCAGGGGCTGAGGCATGGGCTGCCCAGAATCCCCAACCACTGATTCTGTCATTCTCCTTCTGCCACTTTGTCTGGTTTTTTGTTTGTTTGGTTTTTTTTTTTGGGCCCCCCCCCCCCCGCCCCATCTTCCCTTGTACTGAGGTCTTGGAGGCCCTGATGAGGCCCAGCAAAGGCATTCCCACAGCTAAGTTCAGAGGCTAAAGCCACTTACTCAGTACCCTGGGAACCCCAGGCCAGGAATTATAGATCATTATCTTCACTGAGGAAAGCCTCCTACCCCTGCCCTAGGGTTACCTGCCTCCTTCCTCAAGCAGGCACTCAGCCTTTAGAGAAGCATAGGAATGCCCACCACCAGGCCTCCTCCCGGGCTTACCAATCTATTCCTGGGCCTCAGTCCCTTTCATGCCTTTATTCCTTTCTTTCTTTTTTTTTTTTTAAAAAAAACCAAAAAAGTTTTTCTTATAAAATAAATTTTGGGCAAACATCATATAGCCCTCCTTGATGATTTTCTCCCAGGAAACAAAACTGAGCAGAGCCTCATGAGGCCAAGAAGCCCCTCCCCCAGTATCCTTCCTCTGACCACTACATCCAGACCAGCTGGTTATCAGTGGAGACCGCGCTGCTCCTCATGAGAACGCTGGTGGAAGACGAAGGTGATGGCTGGAGATGAAGCATCCCAGGCAGCCTGGAGTACCTCATCCTGGAGCCCCCGTTTATCTGTGCTGTGGTTCCACTGAGCCAGATCTGAAGTGCAGTCAGAACCATCAGGGGGTGGCCAGACCTGGCGGCTGTTTACACAGCGGCGGCAATGCAGCCTGGGTTAGAGGACAGAGCTGTGGTCACTAGAGATCTTACTTCTGTGCTATTCAGGTAGCTCAGAGAGATGACAAAGGCACTCCACCTACCTGTCATGTGTGTCACTGAGGCTGGCTTCATCCAGGGTGAACAGCTCTTTCAGCTCACCAAGCGAGAAATGTCTCTCTACATCCTGCTCCTCATCAACCACACAACTGCTCAGTGCCTTCTTGTGGCTCTGCCGCTGAAAGATCTTCTCCTCAATGGTTCCAGCCTAGAAGGATGAAACAGGGTTCAGTCATCCCTGTAGATACTAAGGGAGCAGAAAAACCCAGGGATTAAAGCCACCTGGAAAGGGGCAATGAATGAAAAGTGCATATCCTGAGCTAATATCGGTCTCAGCTGAGATCCATTTTCCTAGTTCTTCTAGGGTCAAGAATTGTGCTTCTTTGCCCATCCAGGCTATTTTCTGCACCAATGGAGGGTGTCAGGGATAGGGCTAAATCCATTTAGGGTAAAAACAGGTTATCTATAACAAAGCTTCCTTCACACCAGGCCCAACTCTGATTTATTCAATACCATTTGAGTATTTTTTCAGGTCACACACTAGTAATAGGATGCAAGGAAGAATGAAATATCCCTATCCTTTAGGTCACTGAACACTTTGACAGACAGACTTACGAACAAATTAGTACAATGACAGAAGTCTGTGCATGATACTCAGGGTTCCATAAAGAGAATGGTAGAGGAGTTCAGAAAATCTTGAAAGTAGCTAACTCAAAAAAAAAAAAAAAAAAGAAAAAGAAAAAAAAAAAGGATTTCAAGCCAAGAGTGAAATGAAAGTTGGACATATGGAGTTATAAAAACAAAGACGTTCAGTTGCTCAGGAGGCTGAGACAGGAAGATTTCTTGGGCAAAGTATGTGAGTATAAGAAAGTTAGAAAGAGCTGGGTGGTGGTGGTGCATGCCTTTAATCAATCTCAGCACTCAGGGGCAGAAGCAGGTGGATCTCTTGAGTTCAAGGCCAGCCTGGTCTAAGAGCAAGTTCTAGGATAGCCAGGGCTACACAGAGAAGCATTGTCTCAACCCCCCCCCCCAAAAAAAAAAACTAGAAAGAAAGGATGAAAGAGTAAGATGATCTCTATTAAAGCTTTGAAAACAAATGAGTAACATACTATATAGCCTTAAGAAAAATTAGATGAGGAACTGAGATCATTAGAGATGAAGTCAAGCATGGTACTCACTGGATAGCTACTAGATTTGGGAAAGAAATGAAGACTTGTGTCCAAAAACATCAGTAAGCTAGAGATGTAGACAACAATCTGCATGATACGCAGTGGATAATTAACATTATTTACCACTTCTTAGCCCTCTAGGACATGGAGCATGAGAAGATTTTAAAGCAAATTGACACAGTATGAAAGAAAATAATGCCCTATGAAAAGTATGTATTGAGTAGGCATCTGAAGAGCATCTGGAGGAAATAGGTGGAGAGCAAAGAGGAGGGATGAGGGAGAACAGAAGAATAAAGGACTCAGGGTTAAGTACACAATGTGGTCAGATCGAGGCAGAAGGGCTAAAAAGAGACACTGAGAAATAGTTAAGATGGTCTCAACTCTGACCACCATCACCATCCTTACAGATAGCAGTCTGTAAATATAGCAGGTCTTCTTTTGACCATCACGCCAGACTCGGGCCATAGCTTGTTCATCATTGGCTGGGTTCCAGTCAGGATCAAACATGACCAGCCGGTTAGCACCAATGAGATTAAGACCACAGCCCCCAGCTTTGCTGCTCAGCATGAAGACAAAATCAGGACTCTGGGAAGGAAAAAAACAAGAAAGGAGGGGGTAGGGTGCACACACTTGAAACGTGAGCTAGGATCCTTCTCAGCTCAGCAGACATGTCTCCCACTCTTTGATACCCACACTGAGGACAAGTTGGTATGCCTACTATTCAGTTTCCCAACCCATAAAGTCAGGTTCTAAGCCAGTCATCATTGATCAGCTTCATCTTATCACACCCACCAGAACACAAAAACAAAAGTAAAACAATAAAACAGAGCTCCTTTACAGCTTCTCTGTCAACACGTAATTCCTATGCATTGGTGTACTTACCGATGGACTATTGAAGCGCTCTACAACCTTGGCTCGCTTCTTAATGGACATTGTGCCGTCCAGGCGAACATACAAGTACCTGGAGGGATATCCAAAGATCAAGACCCAAGAAGGATGAATTCCTTAAAGCTATGGCTACCAATAAGACTAGTTTACCATCTTGAGACTGCTCATGCATGCATAGTCTGAGGCCTCCCAATGAGAAGGGCAGGGATTATGATCTGTGGGAATACTTGAGGGACCAGGATATAAGCTTGTGTAGAGCTGGAGCTGGTGCCATCAGTCATTAGGGAAGAGAACGTCTCAGGAAAGTCATTCATAAAGCCACATCTTGATAAACATTGAATAATCAGAAAAAAACCAGTCGTCCTAGAGTACCAGTGAGGGAGACACATCCCTTTGCTAACCTGGTTAGACTCTTCCCTACCTTCGAGCTCGGCACAGTTTTTCAAAGAGATCCAACGTCTGAGTATAATTAGACACCAGCACAACTTTGTCACTGCTGCGGCTTCTAGTCATGGCCAGAATGTAATCCAGGACCAACATTTTACCTGGGAAGAGTGACTACTATCAGTCCTCACAGTTAGTCTTCCCAATGGCCCAGGACTGTTACACTTGATATCCTGCTTTCAGACAGAATAGCTTCAGGACAGAGACAGTTTCCTATCCTCCTATGGTTCCTCCAAGGAGAGCATCTACTGATGGGGAGGACTCACCTGACAGCTGTGGCTCTACAGCTTTAGAGGTGTAACCAGGTGGGAAGATGTCCACAGTGCCCTCAAACCCATCCTCCTCTGCCACACACTTGTCATAGATTAGAGCTGGGTCTGAAAAAAATCAAAACTATACCAAAATGCTAGTAACTTGCTTTTCTAAGCTTCCACTTCTGTGCTCAGCCTTTGGATATCTGGCACCTAAGGTAAGCCCTCACTTACAACTAGACTCTTGGGGTCCACCCTCCCAAGTTCCCATAGGGTGTAGCCAGTACAATCTGGAAGCCTAGATGGACAGTTATCACTCACTACTGTATTCTCCCAACAAAAAAGGAATCAACATGAGAGGCACTGTTTGCTACTTTTCCTCCTGCCTAATGTTGTACAAAAGGATGTATACATACCAGCATTCACATACATAGTAAACCACATTTCAAGCACCAAAGATGGACTGGGCAGAAGACAATGTAGTTTCCAAAGTAAAGGTATAGCTCACAAAAAGTCCACAAGGCAGAAGTCATGTCTTATGGAGAGTTAGACCACATGCGGCCTCCATGAGGTCTCTAGAGAAGGTCACCAGCCTATCCACAGGACCTTCCTCTCCCTTGTTCACTCACACAGAAGATACTGGGCATGGGCATGGGCACACTCACGGTTACATAGCTTCTTTAAAGAGGTGATAGAAGACAGGGAAGACACACTCATCTTGCCTTCACGCAATTCTTCTTCAGGCTTAGCCTGTCTCAGAAATCTCTTATATAACTCAGTTTGAAGGGGTGTCAGCCTGAAAATATAAAGGCAGGTGACTCACCAGAAGAACCTGGACCACACACACTGCTACCGTAAGAGCATCTTGAAATTCAGCCATGCTTGGGAAGCTAAGCTTTTACCCACTCCCTGCATGCCTGTTAGCTAATTTCAGTACCTGCAACAAACCACCTGCTCAATCTTCACTGGCAGATATTTAGAGAGGATATCTGATGTTCTCCGTATCAGGCACCTAGGGAAAATGAGAAAAAGCAAGAGGCTGGTGAAACTGATGTGCTATATACTAGGATAAAAGCTATTACCTAAAGGACCAAGACTCACTCTATTTTATAGTATGTCAGAACTATCATTTCTATGACACATATCATAGACTCATCATTCCAAATATGAGGTTTACTTGTTTGTTTCTTTCAGGATCTTAATCGTGGGAACAAAGACCTTCAAAATTGCCTTGCTTAGACTGACAACTCCTTTTCTTCCTTCCAGCTTGTTGGCTGGTCTTTAAAAGAAAGCTAAGGTCTTGCATTCACCCCGCAGCTGTCAGGAAAAGTGGGTCACAAACTTTGGGACTTTTTTTTTTTAATTTTACATATATGAGTGTTCTCCTTGTATGTATATCTATGTACCGTGTTTATACTAGTGCCCTCTGAGGTCAGAAGAGGGCACCAGATCCCCTAGAACTGGAGTTATGGACGCCACCATGTACGTGTTGGGAATCCTCTGCAAGAACAACATGTGTGCAGGGGCTGGAGAGATGGCTCAGCTGTTAAGAATCCTGGCTGCTCTTCCAGAGGACCAAGGTTCAATTCCCAGCACCCACCTGGCAGCTCACAACTGTCTGTAACGCCAGTTTCAGGGGACCAGACACCCATGGCAAAAATACCAATGCACATGAAAATAAATTAACCAATCAACTTAAAAAAAAAAAAGAAAAAGAAAAAACGTGTTCTTAACCACTAAGCCAACTCACCAGTCCCTAAACTGTAAGTCTTTATTGGGAGGATTCTATCTGCATTTGCACAGGTACCAGCTGTCACATGACCCCTGGAGTCATTAAACCCTTATCTCCTGGTCAGACCAGGAAGAATAGAGAGGCATCTTCTGAGTACTTACCTAGTCAGGCATGATAGCACATGCCTGAATCCCAGCATCTGGTAGGTGGCCTGGGATACATGAGATACTATCTCAAAATTAGAGAAAGAAAGAAAAAGAAAAAAAAAAAAAAAACCCAGCAGCTTCATGGGACAAAGTAACTCTGCCATCAAAAATTGGTAGGAAGAGCCGGGTAGTGGTGGCACATGCCTTTAATCCCAGCACTCGGGAGGCAGAGCCAGGCGGATCTCTGTGAGTTCAAGGCCAGCCTGGTCTACAGAGCGAGTTCTAGGATAGGCTGGGCTACACAGAGAAACCTTGTCTCGGGAAAAAAAAAAAAAAAAAAATTAGTACAAAGATGTAGCCAAGCAGTTGGGAGGAGCAGGACATTCATAATGTAATCCATCAAGGGCCCATACCAACAACAGGGGTCCAGAATGTGCTTGCCCCTGGATCATTTGAAACCCATTGAAAGAAAAAGGCTCTCTTGGGCTCGGACCACACAGAGATTCTTCAGCTCTCCACAGAACTAGCTTTAGGCTAAAAGCAACTGTCAAGAAGGTTCTGAAGTACTAACAAGGATATGTCTTGTTCAGGAAAGCTAACTGCACCACAGAAGAGCTTCTTCAGCAGGTTGATAAGAACAAAACCAGGCCACAGGGCTCCCCAAAAGTGGAACTTATCCTATAAGACTTTGTTATTTATTCAGTACTGTGGGATGTTTTGTATGACAAATATGTTGCTCTGATTGGTCAATAAATAAAATACTGATTGGCCAGTGGCTAGGCAAAAAGTATAGGCGGGACTAACAGAAAGGAAAAAAAAAAAACAACAACAGAAAGACAGAAGGAGTCACTGCCAGCCGTCACCCTGACAAGCAGCATGAAAAGATGCCGGTAAGCCACGAGCCACAAGCCGTGTGGCAGGGTATAAATTTGTGGAAATGGATTAATTTAAGCTATGAGAACAGTTAGCAAGAGGCCTGCCACGGCCATACAGTTTGTAAGAAATATAAGTCTCTGTGCTTACTTGGATGGGTCTGAGCGGCTGTGGGACTGGCGGGTTACAAAGATTTGTCCTGACTGTGGGCCAGGCAGGAAAACCCCAGCTACAATTCAGTGCCAACTCATGCCACAGACCCCACTCCTTCCCTCAAACACCAGCCCTTAAAGGCTCCAGACAGACCAAGCCCACAGATCTGGGCAGTTCCCAAATAGCTCGGAAAGTCTCAATCATTTGGATGTCCAGAGTTGAGGCTATTACCTATTCACAATACTGATGAGCTCCCGCAGACGTTCCTCCCCTAGCTGCCTGTCTACCTCACTGGCAGCTGCATCCCGACTCTTCAAAATTGGCAACTCAAAATGCTTCTTGAACTCCTGGGCAGTTCCTAAACTCAGGAGAGAATTGAATAATAAGCATGTAAGGGTAGAATGATTTTTCTTGCTACTAATAATGACAAACCACCTTACCACCAATCACCCTCCTTGGGGAGAACAAAGCTGAACAAAATACAAGCAATTTTTATTTAATGAATCAGACAGCAAAGCAGTGAAGAGTTGAGTGTCTAAATATAGCTCGATGGTAATGCCCTAATAGGAAACCTTACGGTAATTGTAAATGGACTAAAGTTCCAACTCTAAGATAAAGCCACAGGCTGAGGATATGGCTCAGTGGGTAAAAGCGCTAGCAGCACAAGCCTGACAACCCAAATTCCATCCCCAGAACCCATGAAAAAATCTAGATGCAATGGCACACATCTGTAATCCAGCACTGCTATGGTGAGCTGGGAGGCAGAGAATCTCCTGGAGCTTGAGGGCACAGCAGCAGAAACAAGCAAGACCCTGCCATAACCAAGTAGAAGGCAAGAATCAATCCCCAAAATCATCCTTTGACCTTGATATTCTCTCTCATACACACATACAATAAATTTAAAAAATAAATAGGTTGGGCATGATGGTACACAGCTTTAATCCCAGCAGAGGCAGGTAGATCTCTGTTTATTTTGAAGCCATCCTAGTAAACATAGGAGACTCTAGATCAACCATGGCCACACAGTAAGACCTTGTCTCGAAAAAATAAACATAAGATAAAAGATGCTGGGGGTATGGAGGACAAAGAGAGGGCTCGGTAGTTAAGGACATTGGCCACTGATGACCAAGATGGCCAGGAGACTCTCCACCTTCAAGAATGCCTGATGATGCCGGGCGGTGGTGGCGCACGCCTTTAATCCCAGCACTCGGGAGGCAGAGGCAGGCGGATCTTTGTGAGTTCGAGGCCAGCCTGGGCTACCAAGTGAGTTCCAGGAAAGGCGCAAAGCTACACAGAGAAACCCTGTCTC